TTTCAGTGTGCAAGACAACATTTCATCTTTAGTAGGGTCGCACACCGGAGCAACAGGCAATAAGCGATACGCAATCACCAACATGTGACATTATCGCCTATTGACACCAACTAAAAATCAAATGTTGTTCCGCATACTGAATCAACGGAATATTGCCCGTCTGAAGAAAATACAAGCAAATAACAACGATCAGCGAACCCACTAGACCCCCAGTCATTAATGTTAACTCCGAGGAAATTCCTGAAATAGACGTAGAAGAAATAAGGAAAGCCCAGTCCCAAATGAAAAATAACAGAACACCGGGAGAAGACAGAGTAACAACCGAAATGTTCAGATCTGGTGGACAACTTCTACTGCAGAAGATGACGGAAATTTTTAATAGATGCATTATGGAACAAAGAATACCAGAGCTATGGCAAAACGCAACAATCACTCTCATTCACAAAAAGGGTGATAATACCAGACTCGACAATTATCGTCCCATCAGCCTGCTCTCGCACTTCTACAAAATATTCACAAAGGTGCTGACAAATCGCCTGTCAAACAAATTCGACTTCTATCAACCCCCGGAACAGGCAGGGTTTAGAAGTGGCTATAGTACTGTGGATCACCTTCAGGCAGTCCGCACTCTCATAGAGAAAAGCACTGATTACAACTTCCCTATATATGTCGCCTTTGTGGATTATGAGAAGGTTTTCGACTCTATAGAGCTACACGCCATCCTCGATGCCCTGCAAAATGCCAGAATAGACTACATATACTCGGGCATAATATCATCTATTTACAAATCAGCTACAATGACTATCAAACTGGATGACATAAATATCACAAATAAAATTAAAATGGAAAGAGGAGTCCGATAGGGAGATACTATTTCCCCCAAACTTTTTACACTGGCCCTGGAGGACGCATTTAAGAAGCTGAACTGGGACAAGAAGGGTATTAAGGTAGATAGTGGGATGCTTAATCACTTGCGCTTCGCTGATGATGTCGTTGTCCTGGCCTCATCGTTGGAAGAACTTCAAACAATGCTCGAACAACTTCACCACACATCTGCGCAAGTAGGTTTAAAAATGAATTTGTCTAAAACTAAAATCCTAAATGAAAATGAAGAGCAAGTTAATGTTAATGGACAAAGGATTGAGAACGTTAAAGAGTATATAGGTATATCTAGGTCATGCCATAAAACTCGGCAAGGAAAATCAAACAACCGAAATTTCTAGAAGGATCAAACTCGGATGGGCAGCTTATGGTAAACTTAACTTTATATTCAAAAGCAAAATCCCAAATAGCCTAAAAAGAGACATTTACAACAAATGCGTCTTGCCTGTCATGACCTATGGTTTGGAGACTATGACGATGACGGCACGAAGTGTGAACAGGTTGCGAGAGTGAGCCAAAGAGCTATGGAAAGAGCCATGATGGGTATCAGTCTTCGCGACCACATTAGAAATGAAGACATTCGCCGACAGACGAGGATAACGGACATCGTAGAGAGGATAGCTAACTCTAAATGTTCTTGGGCAGGACACTTGGCCAGACAGTCCGAGGAAAGATGGGCAAAAAGACTTCTTTGCTGGAGGCCACGTCTAGTAAAACGCCCAGTCGGCCGACCTCCTAAAAGATGGACTGATGATATCCAAACCGTAGCCGGTAAGAACTGGATGAGGAGAGCACAGAATCGAAACGAGTGGAAGAAACTGAGAGAGGCCTACATTCTGCAGTGGATGAGTAATGGCTGAGAAGAGAAGAAGAGAAGAAATTAGAAGAAAATATTGTGTTGCTTCAGTGTGCGAGAAAACTTTTGATCTTTAGTATGTTGTTAATAGACGATAATATCGCATGTTTCTGGTCGCATATTGCTTAATGGCTGTTGCTCTAGTTAGTGACCCTGCTTATTATGTTGTCAATAGGAGATAATATTGCATGTTGTTGGTTGGCGTATTGCTTCTTGCCTGTTACTTCAGTGTGCGACACTGCTGAGAGTTGTTCCGATCCACAGAACACAGCTAGGTTATTATAGGCCAGTCAAATAGCATTTATTAAAGCGGTTACTTGAAAATAAGTGTTGCAAAACTAAATTATAAGTTTTATTGGTTTATTTGACCTTGGTTTATAAGCCCAGAAGATGGCAAAATTCTTAGATTTTTTTTAGATTTTCACCCATAGTTCCAAAACATTGCGTTCTAGCAAATATTTCACTATTACGCAAATTAAAGAAGATTAAATTCTGCGTCAAATGAATGCCATATTTATTCAATTTGATTCAGTAGTATTGCTAACCCACTTTGCTGAAAATGCATTAAAGTGACATTCAACCATCCGTCACATAGAAAACATCATTCTAAATAAAAAATACAAGTAAAGTAACAGAGCATAAAATTGTGGATTTTACATGTACGTTAAATTTTAAATTTAACAAAGATATACCGAGAAAATGAAAATATACTTGCCCTATGCTCTTCAGTGTCCAAGAATGGTACCCTTCCATTCCTTCTAACTCTGTATGAGGTAACTTAAAAAGTGGTATTTTATATTATATTAATAAAATAGATATTAATTGCGATGTGTGTTTATATGCACTAGTTTGCACTGTTGCCAGATACCGAGTATGCCATAAATACCTTACCAAAAAGTAACTCTTGTGTGTGGTGATTCTTAACAGAATCACCATTTGCGACGCTAACGAAGAATGAAGAGCATATGGCAAGTTTCGGAACATTTTCATTTTCTTCTCAAGTAGTTGAAGCCAAGCTAATCCAAATCAAATTTAAAAAATTTAGCATACACGTTAAAACTAATATTTTGGTCTTTTACGTTGTAACTCTTAATTGTATTATAATAAGTAGTATTATAGTATAAGTATTATAATAGTATAATGATTAATAATAAATTGAATTAACTCATTATTCTATTACTCATTCGACGTAGAATTTAATTCTCTTTAATTTACGTAATTATGTGTTTCCGTTAAAAAAAAACAGACAATGGTCCTAGTTATCGACTTCCAGCAGGCATATGGCAAAGTTAGAAGCACCGAGAAGAGTTAGAGCTTTAACAGAATTTTAAGGGTTAGCAAGAAATTGACAAAAATGAAAAAAAGTGATACTCCAAGAGATAGTAAACGAAGTTAAACTAAAAAAGAAAACAAAGTAAAAATGTATATTCAAGGACAGGTTAAAACAGGAGGATCCGCCTTCTGTATACACAAAGACAATAATGCCTAGCCTTTGCAGATGATTGATTTATCTTAGCAAAAGATCGAATAGATCTGATAGTGATACCCAAAATACCGTATGATCGAAAAAGAACGGCGTCCAGTTGGCTTGGAAATGACGATCGATGACATTTCCCATATAATTTTACATATACAATGACAGCGATCTTCATTTCATAGCCATCGTTGACGCCGTTTTTATTCGATCATACGGTACTAGAAGATCAAGCACAAAAAGTAGGCTTAGTGTTTAATCAGAAGAAAACTAAGTTGATGGAGTAGTCGATAGTGATTTTGAGAAGGGAAGATGTTTACAAGTAAATTCTGAGAGAGAGAAACGATACAAGTTTGAGGAGGTAGATACATTCCCATATCTAGGAACCGTATTTATAAGAAAACCAAATGTAACTGAGGAAATTGTGTCAAGAATAATGGAGCAAGAACATCCGAATATTTAGTTTTAATTATTGTCTAACATTATTAATTACAATATAGTAAAAAAACATATTTCCAAAACTTAAAATCGTTAAACTGCAGGGCAATACCAAAAATACGCAGGGACTAACTGTTCTGGCGGTCCGCCTTTTATAGATTATAATCCACGGTGTTAAACTATTTAAAAAATTATTTCTTATTTTTGAGTGGATTTATATGAAACCATGATATTATTATAACATATAAAAGTGTCTTGAATTGACATTGGGTTAATAATTCTCCCAGTCAGCTCGATATATTGATGATGTTGTCAGTATTACTCATCAAGCAATACTACCTGTTATTATTAATCAATTAAGGCCGCGTAAACAAACATAACATATACAATTTTATATACTAATTCGTCATAATAAAATTAATAACAAATATATTGTAATTATATTCCTGCAGATTGAATGAAAAGTTTTGTTCTTAAATATTTACTCTACATGTTATAAACGTGTGGCCAGATATTAATTTTGTAGAATATATATCCACATAAAACGAGATGTAATTAGCGAAATATCATCGTAAAAAGAGCTATTTTAGAAACGTTTAGGTTTACTTATTTCACTGATATTTATGAAAAAAAAATCCTTTGCCTCGGGTACAGATATCGCCACGAATTAAGAATAGAAAGTATTACGAGGCAAACCGAAGTGGGTCAACGACAAAGTCAAAAGTCAACGACAACTGGAAATAAATCGAAATGCGACAAAGATGGGCAACGAAATGCGACCTCGACCTCTTTCGAAGAGTTCTCCATTTAGTGTAGAGGCTGTTTTAGGCTCTTAGAGCTATTATATAATTTATGTAATTGTGAAATATACGCAACATTTCAGAACTATAGGGAAAATCTAAAATAGGTCCAAGAATTTTGCCATCTTTTGTGCCTTCTGGCTCCGTGCAAATCTAGGAAACTTCCCTTTCGTGTCAAATAAACCAATCAATTTGATTGGCCTTCAACTGTTGCTGGCTATTTATGATATTAAGTATTTCGGCCAAGCAGTCGCTATCTGTAAAGCAGCACTAGTGGTAAACTAGCGACCCATCGCATCGCCGAAGAGTGAACAGAACGAGTAAACTAGAGAGAGAGAAAGTAGGAGTCGTTACCGGTGTTGGTAGGTGGGGCGGCAGTGGCGGCGGCGGCGGTCGTGGCGGCTGACGGCCTGCGGCGTGAGAGGGCGGCTGCGGCTGCTCAGCTCAGCGTTATATTGAGGGAGGGGCACTTGCGGACGGTGGCGGGGGGCGCGGACCCCGCCGCCGCCCGGCCGGCCCCGCGTGGCGGTGGGGTAGGGGGGAGCCTTACCATGCCGGATCCGAGCTGCTGCAGCAGGCCGCTGCTGCCGCCCTGCGAGCCGCCGCCCAGGGCGGCCGAGGGACGCCGCGACCGGATCGACTGCATGCTGCTGCTCAGGAGGAAGGGAACACTGCTGCTGGTGTTTGGCATTGAACCGCCCTGCAATTCGGACAATGCAAATTTAGTAAGAATTGTTAAATGTTTATAAAATATATGCGATTTTTTCCTCATTAATCAAGAGTAAAGGGAGATGACCAATTCGGCATCATTTGCTTTTGAAGTAGACAGTAACGATTGCAGCGATGTTAACATTAAAAACTTGCTCTTGCTTTGGTTCTTCATCAACTAATCTATTAAGATTTTATTGTTTTTGAATGTTATCAGTGAAAAGTCGTATTATTAGTGTTTGTTTGGCAGTTACTTTAGCGGATAAGGTTTTAAGTCCAAAAGTGGTATCTGATATTGTTGCATTAATTTAACATAGTAAAGAACAACTTCTGAACTTGAATGAACCAAACCATCTCTACTAGAGCTAATAAACAATAATAATACTTTTCAATGACAGTGACATTATAAAAACAATGAACATTACTTTATTAATGTTTTGATTGGTACCCCCAAAAACACACTTTAATGCTAAAATTGCTGTAAATAGTTACTAACTTTATCAACAGCGAATATCTCCAACAAAAAAGTTATTGAGATCAGTCAAAAAACAGACTATCGAGATAAATCTTAATTATATAGAGGTTTGTAATTTGATAAATCACTCCACAGTATTGGTGGGGGATGATGTTTAAAAAACTCGAAAAGGAAAAACTTTTCTTTTATTAATATTTTGAGAAAAAATCGTCTTCCATGTTCTAGAACTTTCCGTCATGTTCACGTTACTGTGCATATTTTTTTCTTGGTTTTATTCGAATTTTAGCAGTTTATTCTAGCGTTTGTTAATTATATTTATTATTTTTTTTTCGTTTTCTATGGCTTTAGTGTTTTATTTTAAGTGTTTTTTAAACCTTCTTCACCACCACTAGTTCAAAATTAGTCGACTTATCTACTCTTAAGATATCTTGATCAGGATTTGTGTATCTTCCAAACTAAAGATTTTCTACAACTTACAGTTATAAATTTTACTTTTAGATTTACAAGAGTATATTATATTCAATCAGTATTAAATGAAATAAACTAAATGATTAATAGTGCACAAATGTCTTTCCTCTTTTATGCATGGTATTAGCATCAGTACTGGAATTGAGATTTTTGAGGGAGCTATAGGTCTGTTGCATTACGATCTATTGTGATTCTAAATACTAGCTCATTCTCTCTCAAATGGAAAGCCAATTAATAATCGCTGCCTTCTAAATACGTTGTACTCTAAATTTAGACTATGGCTTCTAGTGGGCCGATTTTGGTAATTTTTTAAAAAAAATTCTAAAAATAATTCTTCTTAAATTAAAAATTGAATTCCTCATTTGTCTATTATACGAGGGAAAACAAAATGTTTTTTTTCGCGAATATTTGAATTTCTCGTGAAAAAATTTAACAAAGCAATTTAAAAGTCGTTTATAAAGACTTCATCATTAAGGTATATCATCTCTTGATAGTATGATTTTTAATTCATCTCAATAGCTCTTTATTGTTATTGAGATATTCACTTTAGTTAGAAGAAAAAACAATTACAGCAGTTTTAGCATTAAAAAACTTCTTGCTTTTAATCTTCATCAACATATCTGTGAAATGTATTTTATTGTTTTTGTAATGTCACTGTCATTAAAAAGTCATATTATTATTGATCGTTGGCAATTACTTTAGCAGAGATAGTTTTAATTTTAAAGGGTTTCAAACAGATGGGAATATCAATTTTTTATTTAAGAAAGGCTAAAAAGCCACAGAATTTATTTTCGCAACCTAAAAACAATAATTTATCGAGGAAATACTTACTATCATGCTCCGTGCAAGCTAAACAAAAGATACAAAAAATTAGTTTATTCATTAATATTAGTTTACACAAATCTGACACAGAAAAAGGAATTTATGAACGACCAACAGACAGACCGCAAAACCACTCCCTCCGATTGCTTTAGTCCTAAATAAATCTCGCTGTCAAAATACTAGACCGTTAAAACAAATAAACTTGTCAGTTATGGAAATTGCGTTTATTGGACGATACGAAAAAATATCGCGGGAAAAAAACGGCACATTTTTAATGAAAAAACGAAATGAGACGTCAAAAAAGCAATCGGACGAATCGATTTTGGCGTTTGTCGTCGGCAGAGGGAATTGTTATGACAGAAATGACGATGCGGAGATACGTAAAAATCGTAACATAGAACGAGTTGTGGGTATCAGCGGCTCGGATGATGTGAAGTATTGGCATTTCATGTGGGTTAGGTAAAAAAGCGGAGGGACGACGAGCCACGTGTATAAGTTTCGCGAAAATATGTTTAAAACATCGCATATCAATTCTAATCAAGATCCTATAGATCTGAAAACACATATATTGTCAGCTTACAAAAAGTTTAGATTTTAAAGAATTATTCTGATTATACAACTCTATGTATATTTTTCCTATATAGAAGGATGTGATTAATAAGTGATAATCATTTAAGTGATTATCACTTGATGGCCATATTGTAATTGTCATTTTTTGAAATATTAATTCAGAAGTCATTTCTGTCAGTTCCACAAATTATAATAAAAATGTTATTTCGTTGTATAATCTTTTGAATGCAACGCGATGTTTGAGAATTACCTAATACTTTTGCCTGACGCTCAATGCAATACCGGCAACACTACGACTCCGAAGGAGTAACGCATTTCGTGTCAGGTAAAAGTATTATTCGGTAATCCCGAAACATCCAGTACAATCAAGCAAAATTGAAATTTTTCACTAATAAAAATAATTTCACCTAAACGAAAATTGTTCTCTATTTTTTACAAATAACGACAGACTATTTATTCACAATTTCTCTATATAAAGTCAGAAAAAGAATTGAATTTGCGATTGTACCTTTTAAAAAAAGGTTCATTCCACAGAACTTTCACTACACTCTTCTTGTAGTTATTATTGAGGCCTGTTTGCGCATATTACAACCACAATGTTCAAGAACAAGTACCAAATCCTCCACAGGTCTATCTGTTCTGTCAAAATCATACGATCTGAGTTGCTGCAAAGTTTGTGAACTCCTTCCAAATACTTAGCTGTATTAAGGTTTTACTTAGTTACTATGGCAACAGAATTACCAAGTCAACTGAACTTTCTATTGCTTAGCTGGTGTCTTTTCAAAAAGAGAAAAAATATCCATTATTATAAATAAAAAAACAGAGTTTTAATATGAGTTCAAACCCAATTTTAATTAAGAGGCGAGGTTATTAAACCCGGAAATTTTTACTTACTAAAGAATATTTTTATAAAATTATCCCGAGTCAAAGACAAGGGATAATTTTAATAAGTATTCATAAGCTCGAAGAAAAATCCGGAAATAATTTAACTTCTTGTGGTATTAATAGTGATAACTCAATTACTATAAAAACTCCAATTCATCATCTTCCTGATCATTCCTTCTTAAACTGATAAAAAAAAATATGGGCATTGTCGTCTAGCTTCTCGCGTGCGTTGGTTGACAACATAAATATCCTCCCCAAGACTTTAACAATATCTATGTTCCGCAAGCTGTATCCAGTTATACTCTATTCTCTGTAACTTCTCAGTCTATCGCGTTGGTGGACTCATGCTCTGGCAAAATAAAACAGAAAAAAGATGTGGGCTAAAAATAGGCTTAGGTGAAGAGGTACTGCAACTCAATTTTTTTAATACGTACCTATGCATAGCAAGAATTTAACAAGAAAACTTTTCATTTATTGTATCTACAAGAATATAGTTGTTCTCACCACTTTTTCATCCTGTCCTTCTACTGCTAAAATCTCTTGGCCAACGTGTTTCATCCTGAAGATTATTTTATTGTAGCTACATATTTTATCATTTCTGTCAACTTCGTGTAATATTTATTTAATTTTTTTCTATATAATCTTGAAACATCTGCAATGTAATATAAGTAACACCTATCATGAGTTTTTCTAACGCGTGTTATGTTGATTTAAAGTTGTTTGCAACAATGTTTGTTGTTGCCACTAATCGTAAAAAAAAACAGAACGATGCAAGTGTTAGAAACTTTAATTTTTATGTTGATAAGAATTTTGTTGCCCACAGTGTATGGCTCCAACCGTTGTTCTGCTATAGAGCGGTACTGAGTTTGATTCCCAACCGGTACGGTCGCTTAGTTATTTAAATAAAAATTAGTTACTTATTTACATAAATTGTTCGCCCAGAGAGTCTCCATCTGAAGATATGCTGCTAGGGAATACTCCTTGAGTATATTTGCGTAGTACCACCTCCCAAATAGTGCCGTTTGGATTGGGCGATAAAATGTAACACTAATGACACACAGGCATGCGAAAGGTCGCCAACAGTATAGAGCGTGGCGTTACAAGAAGGAATTTTAATATTTTTAAGCATGTTTCTAAGTCCTCCAGGTGAAGCTTATCCTCGGATTCTACTGGTAACCTGGGCTTGTTGGATTTCAATTTCTAATTGTAATTGGTGTCCTAAGTTGGCATAGACCTCCACTCTTTTTAACACTTTACTTCCCACTTCTTTTGGCGGTACGTTGGTTGTTAAAATTTTATAACACGCATATCTAGATTGTTACTAATTAAAATGACGTCATCCGAAATAATTTAGATATCAAGAGATAGTCGATAAATAATTTCTATTGGCAACTGCTGCAGATTTTTTGATCGCACTACCTTAACCAAACAGAACACAAGTCTCAAAACATCCAGAAAGTTACTTTTTAGTAACTACATTGTTTTTGTGGAGCAGCAATAAATAGAGTCATGGACTGCCCAAGCACCGATTCCTTGATTCTTGTTGAAACTGAGAGTTACAATTATTACGTAAATAATAAACTTGGTAATATATGTATTCCAGATCACAGGGTGGAGGATTTTACATATTATTTATTTTTACACTGAGGACCTTTGTATCTGATGTATATATAGGACGTGGCTCGTCGCGATGAGATCGCACAATGTGAGTAAAAGTGGGGTTATGAAGTATACATCGATTGAGTTGCGTGAGACTTACATAAGACGTTGAAGGCACCGAAAGGCTCGAGCCCTCTCGGGACACCGAGCAGTATCCGAATCCGCCCTGTGGGCCAACCAGTATGTGTTCAGTATATTGTGAAAATTTCAAGTATACGCAGAGTCAACAAAAAAAATCGGACCTTAAAACGTGTGCAAAATCTAATTTATAAGGAATAAATATTAAGGAAAGATGGCAAACACTATTTTGGAGTTGAAATCAAACTAACTTGTTACATACCTAAATATATTATGAACATAATTGTTTAATTATCCCCGTATGACTCTGAATTAAAACTGCAAATATCCAACTGAAGGTCTTACTCTACTAAAGTCTCAAAAATTGAATCATACAATTTGACGTGTGGATATTAGGGTGTCCGTTATTTCCCAAGTTGATTTTTTTTGCTGCCGCCCTCTGAAGTTTTAGTTTTTGGTCTAAAAAAATATCCAACGTAAACAAGCTCTTAATTTTTAATTTAAACCGTGCCGGAATCATGATACTTTTCCCATTTAAATAACATGGGATTTTTTGACCTTTTGCATTTAATTTTTATCTTCAAAGCAAATGAACCTTCAGCTTCGACAAAGACATATGCCTCGAGCATATTCTATTACAAAATTACGCTCTACAAAAAAGGTATCTTTGGTTATTTCCATAAAAACATTTCTTTAAAAGTTATTCGCGGTCAAAATTATGCACATAGTTTATAACCAAATTTTTCTATCATTCACTGCAAATTTTAATTGCGCCTTTTGATTTTGACTAAACAGGATCTAGAACCCATACTTTTTTCAATAAAACAATATTTCTTTACCAACTTTAATATGGAAAACTAATATTGCACCATCTATGATCCAATTATAATTTAAGGTTATTGTTTCATTGCCTTTCAGTGTTCGTAAATATTTGTGTCAATTGAAAATATTGAACAAATTTCAAGTGGTTTTTATCTTAAATATTACTTGTATCGAATTAAATTAAATTATTAATTAATAAAACTAAATTATTATAAATTTGAAATATGTTTTCCATCTCTCCATCAAAATTGGTCCGAATTTTTTCGTATCGTATAGTAGATATTTGTTATTTAATATGGTTTAGGTGTTAAAACGGTTATGTATTATGTTAGTTGTATTATTTTTGTTGAGATTGAAATGTTACTAAATCAGAGAAAGATCTAGAGTCGAACAACTAACACTAACAGCAAGCTACTACTATGATCGATTTCATTTTTAGAAAATCATTAGCAACAGTTATAATTTAAGATTTTTTAAAGTGACTTTTTTAAATTTTAATATTTTTGGATCCCTTTTTAATTATTCCTACTTAAACAAATAAAAAAAACACTATTATTTATTTATTTTTATGTTATTAGCTTTTATGGAATTATGGAGGATTCCACTAATTAAAAATTTATTTAGATATTTTGATGTTATAAAATTGTATCTAAATAATATTTCTTGTTTGGAAAGAAGATTTATTAGGAGATTATATTTATATAACATTTTTTTTTATTTTTAATTTATATCGATCACAGTAACAGTAACTACAGAAGTTCTACTTCTAGTGATGTATCTAATATAAGTAATTAATGTATTGCTATTTTTTTAAACTCAACTGTTATTAAAATGTTATTATTGAAAAATATTATTTACATATGTACAGACTACATTATTAATAACTTATCTATAATAAGTAATTACGAAACTTCGATAAGTCTTTAATTGTTGATTGAAGAACTAAAAAGATGAGCAACCTTATGGGCGATTTAGTGACACAAAAGCTGTCCGAGATGTAGCTGGCGATACTGTCTGGTATACTGGTAGCTCTGCGCCGTCCGCTGCGCCGCTGCGCACTGATATTCTTTTACAGCGCAGCGGATAAAGAATACTGCACTGTAGTTCTGCTTTCACTCGACAGAGTGGGTTGTTGCCAGAGAGAGTGTTGCCCGAGCTAGGGATTAATCCGTAGATTTACGGATTTTGAATCTATTTATGCTGTAAATAATTTCAGTTTAAAAGTAATCTAAACAAAATCGTTTACTGTTCCTTCGTGTCGATGTTTGTGGTTTGTGAGAATAAGAGCCTTGTTGAGTGTACTAACATCTTTCGTCCGTGCATGGGCGAATATCTTAGCTCGCAAAAGGGCAATCAGAAACAATAAATATAATAACTTATGATCTAAAGATATTTGCACCAGACCTTCAACTTTAGCGTCGATCTCCGCAACCAGGGACTGCGTACCTACGGGTGGGGACCCGTTAAACTAACTTTCTTCGGTTTTGAACGATATAAATGAGGCATGTTTTGAATGTATTAAACTATAAACCTAGGTATGATAACAGTTTCTATATTTTTATTATTTCTCTTTTATTAAAGTTCATAACAGCATAGTTAGATTCTCCTGAATAGTGATCATGGTTTCTCTGTCGTGCTCTTTTACATGTGAATTCCAGGCAGAGTACGACACTCCTTTCATTTCATTTAATAAAATTAGTAGGGCTATTTACAAATTTAGTGTTTTATTTACATAACCTATTCTCCTCAAATTTCCCAAAATATTGCTTCTGTCGAGGCGCATCCGAGGTAATCGCAATAAAAAATATTTAACACAACCTAGGTTCCTTTCTTTCATTTAAATTTCTTGTTATACAGTTGGCCAAAATATTACCTCTTCAACTTTGTTGACGAACATGGGTTGTTATATTACAATGTCAATATTCGTCATTTCCAAGCCAACTAAACGACTCAATCATACGAAATATTCAGTACCTATAGAAGAATTTTTATTTTAGTTGTTTATTCTATGTTTAACACGAATAAATTTTCAATACTTAAACGGGGATTTTTCATTCAAATATATTTTCGTCAAACGTATTGCAGATATTATACAATATGGCAACACTGTCGCTTTCAGTTCCACGCCGGCTGATTTAGAGAAAATGAGTGTTTTATGCATTGGCCGCAGAACCATTAGAGGCTCCACCGTACAGCACTTCAAATCAAATCAGCCTTGTCACGAATTCGCCCATTATTAGGTGGCGTATCTTCCCAATTCTTTCAATCAAACCTTTAATATTAGAGTAAGCCAATAAATAAAACTAATATGAAAATACATCTTATGACATTACTAGTCTAACTGCAAAATAAATATTATAAAGTCTGCTTTTGAAGTAATGTTTTGCTATGGTTAAATTTAATTTGAAGGTAATACAATACGCTGTATAGACAGTTTAGGGAATTACACAATGTTTTAGATTGAATTAACGTTTTATTATATTATGAAAATATGCGTGCAACTTCTTACTCTCATTTATTTATAATGTTCCTACATTATTTTTGGTGTTACCAACCAATAATCAACGAGAATATTCCTATAATTTAATAAAATCACTGTAAATCACTATAAATAATGAATTATTTCTAATTGTTGAGCTGTAATTTCTGTATTATTAATCTGGTAAACGAACTTTTGTTAACAACATTCTGAGAATTCGAATAATGAATTGAATAATGACAAGACAAGTGACATCTGTCTAAAAAAACACCGATTTAGAGTGACAATTTGGTTATGTAAAATTTAGAGTGACAATTTTGAATTCTATGAGTTTACTGGTTACCTAACGATTAACGTTAATTTAAAAATTAATCAACATTTAAACAAAAAGAGACCACAGACCACACAAAACAAATTGTTGGTTAGTAGTAGTTAATTAGTCAGATACATAGATGTAGAGAATTATCATTTTTTAATAAAAATTAAAAAAACATATTATATAGAATTATATACGGTTTTATATTAACTCTAATTTTTTTGAAGTTTATAAAAGCATTCATAAAAAATATATATCCTTCAAATCCTTCAATTTAATAGCTGTTAGTAAGAAGTTTCACTTCCAATATGCAGACATAGTGCACATAATTTTTTTTTGCAATGGTTATTAAGCTGCTGCGGCATCTTGTACACTTCGCACTAAAAGCGATTCGAAAAAGAACAATATTCGACTGCGAGGTCTGGTAGTAAAAATTTCTAAGCTTAAAGTATTACAACACAATACATTTAAACCAACAACATGTAATACAAAACTGAATGTCAAAACGAATGACAATATCAGGAAATAAATAAATAAATGTGGCAATTTGGCATATTTTACAGCAGAGCTACCACCTCAATCACCAACGGGAAATTTAAAAAAACCGCGCCCTCGATGACCTAACTAAAAGTTTAATTGGTATCGCCTATACGCCCAATTTAATAAAAAAATTGTATTAACATTTTTTGTAGAAATAAGTGACATTATCTTTAAAAAGACAATATTTTCTTCCAGTACCATTCCGAAACTGTCCACACAGCGCCTTCATTTAACAGCACCTTTATCATGCGCATGTTATTCCCAATTCCGCTTTCTACTCTAAATGTTAAAATTGTCACTCACCGTCGGCGGGGAGAGATTAACCGTGGACCCTCTCCTCTCCTGCGGACCGATGCTGGAATGTCGTCGAATGGGCAGCCCTCCGCCGCCTGGCGTGCCCCCCGGGCTGGAGGCGCACGAAGGCGCGATGCGGATCTTGGGCGTCATCAGGGTGTTGTCGGATAGTCTGCGGTTGGGGAAGGCATTGGCCACGCGCAGGAAGTTGCTGTCGGGGGAGGAGGGGGAGCCGCCGAACCACCAGCCCCCAAGGATGCCACCTGGTCAAGATAAATTATAAATTAAATAATATGTGTACAAGTACAATTCTGAAACAGTACTATTTAAACATTCTAAGCAAATAAATTCTTATGAGCCACTTGCTAAAACCGTTTCTAAAGATAATTCATAGAAGTATATACCGAATATGTAAAGAGCAAATTGCACCAAATCAATTTGGGTTCGTACAAAAACACTTAGAGAAATTCATTTCATATGGATTTGAAAATTACATCAACCTAGTAAAAAGTTATTTGAATAACACACCCCAAAAATCAAAAATCGGAGACATAGAAAGCAATAGTAGCATAGCTCCATATGGCCTACCACAAGGTGGCAACTTGTCACCACTACTATACGTTCTTTATTCTAAAGATATATTTCAACACAAATTTTTTAGTAGAATGTAGGCGTATGCTGACGATTTATGTATGGTGTATTCTGACAAAGATTACAACAATTTACAAGTGAACCTAAATAATGATCTGAAGAAATTTGAAATGTGGTGCTTCAACAATTCCCTAACTATAAATGAATCCAAAACAGATTTTATAAGATTTAATATAAAAAAGCAAACAAAAGATTTAAATATAACTCTAAACGAGCAAAAATTAAAACAAATATCTCAAGTCAATTACCCCGGAATTAAAATTCGTAACAATTTAAAATGGGACACGCATGTAATGGGACCAAATAATTAAATGGGACCAATTAATAAAAAAAAGGACACTGCCTTGATACCACCTGCACAGGGAGGCCTTAAAAGTCTTCAAACTGTTGCAAATGAAGAAGGATGCAACCATCAACTGCCACTGAGATAAAACTTACTTACTAAATAATATTTTTGAATTGTATATTTTTAAACAGTTGTATATATTTTAGTTAATAAATATTTATTATATAAATAAAAAAACGCCGTTGGCACAAGAGAGGCATTATTCAGCATGCAAGTCCTGTTCTAAAAACGCAGAGATGTGAGCTGTAACGTTTTTGCGGATCTAATAGACTACAAAAGGCATTTGAGGGAGTGAGATACGAACAAATGATAGACGTGTAGTGAAAAAGACTGGCAAAAACGGTAAAGATATACAAGTCAAAGCAAATCTGTATTGGAAACAATCGGCAGTTCTTAGAGAGGACGGGGAGCATACAGGACAAGTAGACGTCTTGTTTTGTGTACGGCAGGGGTACATAATCTCATCAATGATAGTCAATCTGTACTCTGAACACATCTTTAAGGAGGCACTACAATACATAGATGAAGGCATCTCGATCAATGGAGTCTCACTCAACAACCTGCGCTATGGCGATGATACAATAGTGTATGCCGATACCATAGAAGGTCTGCAAAATCTGATGAACAGTGTAATATAAACTAGTAAAAAGTATGGACTCGACATAAATACAAGTAAAACAAAATTTATGATTATCAGGAAGGACAAGTTCACTGGAGTTAACTTGTACTAAGTAATGAGATTTTTGAATATCCGGAGTGCGGAAGAGAGATAACATCACGTATCGGGATTTTCAGTCACAGAAAAGCTATAATAATATACATAGCACGCTTGATATAAGCCACGGTAGCGTCGGATTTTTTTCTCCAGGCTTTATTTTTAGGAAGAAATAAAACGAAGAAACCGAAAACAAATTAGTGTTTTCCTGAAAATAAATTTGGATTTTCTTCATTGTTTACCATAAACCCTACTTTGTTTGTGTTTGCTTTTGGCACGTTTTGTCTACTTATTAATGCGTATTTATCAACCAATGTTCAAAACCGTGATCCAAGAAACTATTTAAAATATATATAATACAGAAAAATGATACTGAATAATTTTGTCAACCTGAATTTTAGACATTCAATAAGCTATGAGACCTTCAAAATTAAGCAATATTCTTACTTACAGAATATTGGTTAATTTTTAATATCCACCATTTTTATTGATTATTTTAAATCAAATATCTATTTAACTAAAATATCTGATATCTTTAGCTCTACTATCAATCTTACCCGTTGAATTCTTCCTTTGCATATCCTCAGCGCTGGAGGTCTTCCTCTGTTCTATTCTCAAATTAGGAATATTAAATGGCGGCACGTGCATGTTATCCGAACTATACTGGTGTCGCAACGGCCTGTGTCGCTCCGGACTGGGCAGCGATAGGTTGTCCAGTTTGAGCTTGTTGCGCTGGTTGCGGTCGATCTGGTCCAACATGTCTTGCAAGACTTCGATCAGCACGGTGAACTGCTCCAGGTTGAGGGACGGGTTGACGGTCTGAGGCAGCAACGACGGCATTACCTTGGTGGCCATCAGGTTGACGCTGAGGCCGTATTTCTTGTCGCTGAGCATCAGCCGGTAGATATCTGGAAAAGTGGTTTTGCAATAGGGGCATTATATAAGCTAAATTATTAGCTAAATGTGTAACTAGCCATATCTATGATTGAATATCATTATTCTAAATTTAATAGATATGTACAGGGTGTCCCACTAAGAATACATCTCGGCGATATCTCGGAAAGTATTAACCGTAGAATCTGCGGAAAAAAAACATTTATAACTAAAGAGGCTATGAGAAATTGCTGGAAATTATTTTCAAGTTTGTAAAACGGCTGCTAGAGAGTGTAACAGTTATAAAAATTAAGAAAATTAATTTTTACACAATTTTGCCTAGATAATGGGTACTATAAATAATAGATTCATAATCTTCAGCAAATTTTCAATGTTTTATGTTCAAACCATTTTCTCATATCTGCCAAAATAAAGTGGCGGGGGAAGGTTAGATCTATTTTTATATAAATAATAATAACTCTGGACCTGGATGATCGGAATCCAACAAAGTGGGGCTCGTTTAAGTAAGTAAGATCGTTTCTTACTCTATATTATATCTTATAAACAATAATAATAAGCTTTTGAACGTAGACGCGAGGAGGTGCTGTTTTACAATTTACCAAATATTGGCGCGTTTTTTCAAAAAAATTAAATAAATGCGATAGTGTAAGTAATTTTAGCTGGTAGTAAAGAGTAATAAAATCTTAGAAAGTCAGCGAAAACCGCATCTTGAAATCCTCTTTCAAACCGAAGATATTAGCAAAATTATATGATTTCACTGAGGCGTCGTTTCTAGTTCTCTTTCATTGATATCTTAATTATTAGATACTACCGTGTACCAGCGACTTCGTTCGCGTCGAATTAGTCATTTGTAATGGTGATGATAAAGCAAAGCAAGAATTGCCATTAACATACAAACTGGATAAAATTTTCTCACATTTATGTCAGCATGAGAAAAAACAATATGGCGATATTATTATATAACTTGGTAATATTTGAGGGGTAGTTTCATCTCGTTGGAATTTGAGTTTCGAAAAATCCGTTTGCCAAAAATAAGCTTTTTCCGTCAAGCAGTTTAAGCAGAATCGTGGTTAAGAAATTACCCAACTTTTTGGAACACCCTGTATGATTTTTTAAAAATTTCAAAATATATAGAAAAACAAATAAATTATACTTATCCAAGCGTTCTCCCGAAAGACTAACCGTTTTTTAAATAACAAATATTGTAATATTTGAGGGGCGTTTTCACCCTCTTGGAATCTGAGATTCGAGAAACCCCTCCTTATCGAACCAACTTAAACGTCAAGCAGTTTAAGCAGAATCGTGATTACTCAATGGTCATATTTTATGAAACACCCTGTATAAATTTATAAAAATTCTTAAAATATGTAAAACAACAAAATAAAATATACTTGATCAACAGTTTTTCCGAAAAACTCACCGGTTTTTAAATAAAACATATTTTAATGTTTGAGGGATAGTTTCACCCCCTTAGAATTAGAGTTTCGAAAAATCCCATCTTATCGAACCTCTACACTTTAAAGTCAATCTGCTTTCCAAAAATCAGCTTTTTACGTCAAGCGCTTTAAGCAGGATCGTGATTAATCAATGAGCAGATTTTTCGAAACACCTGTATACATTTTTAAAAAATCTTAAAATAAGTAAAAAAACAAAATAAAATATACGTATTTAAGCGTTTTTTCGGAAACTTGACCGTTTTTTAAATAGAAAATATTGTAATATTTGAGAGGTGGTTTCACCCTCTTGGAACTGGAATTTCGAAAAATCCCCTCTTATCGAACCTCTACACCCTAGAATCAACCTGTATGCCAAAATTGAGCTTCTTACGTTGAGTGGTTTGAGCAGGATCGTGATTAATCAGTATCGGATTTTATATATTAGTATAGATTAATAGTAGTAGTATGGTATTCGGGTACATTGTCAATTTTTTGAGTAAACTAATCTTTTCTATCATATTTTTTATTAGAACAGTCATAATAAAGAGGGCTAATGATACCGTTTTTTAGAAAAATAAGGTAATTAAGAGCTTATTTTTTATAATTTTGCTAATATCTTTGGTTTGAAAAAAGGTATCAAGATGCGGTTTTCGCTGACTTCTTAAGCTTTTATTACTCTTTAGTATCAAGTAAAATTACATATACCATAGCATTTAATTTTTTGAAAAAACGCTCAATGTTTGTTAAATTGTATGACAGCGTCCCCTAGCGTCTATTTTCAAAAGTTTACTATTGTTGTTTATATAAAGTCACGGGGGTGTCACTTGTATGGGAAAACAGGCAACAGTCAAATTTAAACGTGCCAGGATCAACGACAAAGAAAGCAACATCTGCCAGGCATTGGCTTTCTTTGTCACTCACATTGCTTAAATCATGATACCGCGGCCATTTTGACAACAAAGAAGCTGGCCAGGCTGTCCTGGCAAGTGATTTAAAACAATTTTGCTTTTTTACAATATTAAATTACCATTTGGATGTATTTAATGCGATTATTCAGTTAACTGGTAAGTCAGAAATTACACACAAATACTTTATTCGTAAATACAACTAAGATGTAAACGTAGTTTTGTATTTTTAGATTTCAACTTTTGCAAAGACCCGCCATAGAACTTGCCTGGCAGCGTACCTGTTTAATTAAACGTATTATTTCCTGATAATAATATCAAAACACGTAAGTACCTCTATAATTTATGATGAAAAATGATTTTGATTATGTTTTATATTATTTAAATACTTTATAACCTCAAATAATAGTAAGATCCTTGTTTATATCGCACAGCCCGTTCAAAACTGTATTGTCTTCAAAAAATGTTTACAGAACAAACAATTATTACAAAAACAATGTCCTTTTAATCTGATTTATACCTCAGAAGGATGCCAGTTAAATTTTTATTAAATCAACATTACATTATTTGGCCATTAATATGCAAAAAGGAGCATATTGCGTTAACTTAAATTTTCTTTTACTTCTCCTGACAATGTTCTCTATATTCTCTATTTTGAGTTAGTAAACTTTTGAACGGGATGTGCGATATATAAAATACATAATATATCCAAGGGTATGATCTGATAAAAGTATTTTTTGATGCATTTTTTGGTTGTTTATGCACATTGGCTTGGTTTATGTTTTATTCAGCTTATATTTATTTGGTATAACAGTTTTTTTTGCCTTTGGAATGGCATGCATTGAGGCTAGATAGTGTTTTATTAGATCATTAAAGGAATTTAAATTAGCATATATTTTTTGTGATATTAGTGTGTTATCATGATACAGGTAGTTGTATCATAGTGCCTTATGCATGTTATTTACCTATTATATACTTATGCAATGTATTATCAGTAAATAGATGATAACATACTACTAAAATGTCTTTTTAATAGTATGTTTATCTTTCCAATTCACTAGTTATTTGCAAAATGTATTTTGAACTAATTTAAGTCATTAATTGATCATCTTTCTTTTTCAGGTTCCGGGATATTCTTTTTCATTGTTAAAAAAATATATATATTTCAATATTATTGTAATATAAATCACAGCACTAAAAAATAAATGATATTGTTTACTAATGTGTAATTTATTTACTATGAATTTTCTCTGAAAATAATAAGTCTTTAATAATATCATTGATTTGCTGTGTAAAGTTAATAGACATATTTTTTAATACATTAAATTATATTAAAGTAATAAAAAATATGTTTATCAACTTTAAACAGTAAGTCAGTGATACTTATAAAAATATTTTTTTTAAAATGCATCGGAGGGCCCCGCCCCTCCAATTCCCCTCAATTTAGCTAGTACTGCCAGGCGACACCAGGTGGCGTTTGTTTCCATTTTTTAACATGAAGTTAGCATTTCTCTAATGTACCTATTCTCTGTATAAAGTATAATATAGAGTAAGGAACGCTATTTTAAACGAGCTCTCGTTTGTTGGATTTCGATCATCAAATCCGGAATTTAAAGAAGGCGTCCATTCTTCTCAAAGAGACCTGGTTTAAATTAAAAAAGTAGAAAAAAGACCGAGACTTTGAGTCTTTTTTCTACTTTTTTTAATAAAATCCGGAGTTATTAACATTTAAATAAAAACAGATCTAACCTTCCCCCACCACTTTATTTTAGCAGATAGGGGAAAATTATTCTAACAAGTAAGGTTCAAAATTTACTGAAGATTGTGAAGCTATTATTTAGTAAGTTTTTTCCAGTAATTTCTCATGGTCTCTTTAGCTATAAATATTTTTTTCCGCACGCTCTACTACTTTTCGAGATACAGCCGAGAGCTATTCTTAGTGGGACACCATGTACATATATCTAAATCCTACTTACGGACAACCCTTAAAGTGATCATGGGGTCGTTTAAACGTATCTCGTAGAGCAGGGGCATCACCTCGTCGATAATCTGGGATTTGTCCAGCCTATCCAGACTGCGTTCGATGCAAGACAACACGTTCGACACCAGCTTTAAATCATTCTGGTTCTTTTCGTAAATGACTTTAGTCTTGGGTAGAACTATTCTTTTGATGGAGGTCTCGTCCAGATATTCGGAGACGTTGGTTACTGCGACCAAGGCTGCATTCTGGATAAATATAAATAATAAATAAATGTTGGTGTATAAAAGCAAACAAAGTAGTAGCATATCTACTTAGGCTAATCTCAATGCTTTTTAATTAAAAAAATTAGAAGTATTGTAAAATTAGTGACATAGAAGTATAACTGATACGATTATTGAAATAGCTGGCAATACTGTATTAGAGCATGATACAAAGAATACAACGTATGATATTGCGCAGGTTGGTCACTACGTCACAGGTGATAAACGGCACCATTGGTCGGCAAGCTCCGCGCGCCAATTTTAAATTGTCAAACAGATGACATAATAAATGATGAATAAATGTGAAAATAATTTTTCAAATGTCAAGTTCGATGATTTGACATAACTTTTGGGGTTATGTCCTAATTTTTCTCTATTTTGGGTCTTTTTTTATTAGTGGCAATTGGACAATATGAATATTTTTTTGTATGGCGTATGACGTCACAGGTGGTATGCGCAAACTTAACGAAATTGGAGCCGCTATCGATCATACCTTGTTTTCTTTGTACCATGGTATTAGATGACTTCAGGATTAGTGACTGGTACTGCTGCTAAAATAAATTATCGATATTTTTTTTTAGCAAATTCCATTAATTCTTATTTGACGTCAGTTTTTCACTTTTCTATCTTTGTGAAAATTTACAAATTGTTACTTGTTATTTGTGAAATCGACATATTTTTTTATGTAAAATTTATTATTTTTCAATACATAGTGCTTATCATAGAAAAGAAATACTTACATACCCAATAACAATTTGTGTCGAATGATAATAATATAATAATATATCAAATTTGTGTATAGTGTTGTTACTTATAGTACTTTGTAGAGTTACTTTAACGGTAAATTCAAGAAATTTGTTATGGATTTTGGAATGTCATGATTATACCCATTATGTGTTTGTCTAAGAAATCAGCAAACAAGGATGTATACGAAAAATGCTTTTCATGGTTTTTGATTTATTGAGAGACACAACAGTGTAACGTTTTTAGTTCGTTACATGTCTTTTTTATATATAATATATGATGCCTGGCCTATCATCACCGGATTCCCTCTCGTTCAGGCCGGATAGTTTATTTGACGCGTAATTTTTACGTTCCCTGGTCGCCAACCCTGTTATCGTTCGACACAACCCTGTTACTATTCTGTGGAGGCGCGCGCTGTCAACATCGCTTCTGTCAACTCTCCGTGCTTAACCTCACTTTGTTTTGACGCTCTGTTGTATCCCAGCTTTTAGAAATGGTGATTATTTAAATCTTGCTGTATAATCTGAATCAGCTGCTATTTCAAAGCAACAGGTAAAGATGAAATATTATCCTTATAGATTCGATATTATTATTGAATATTTTTAGGGTAGAGTTACGGATGTCCCAACTTGTATTTGTGTTTTGCTGGCACGTTGGCGTCCCTTTTCTTTTGTCCTCCAGAATGTCACATGGAAGAAAGAACATGTTGTTTATTATTTATTGAGCCCTCGGAAGTATTTCGAGGTAGGTTTATTTTGTTTATTATACCTTGTTTGGTTTTAAACAAGAGTTTCATATTTTTAGGGTCCAAGGTACGGACTATTTCCAAGGTACGGACTATTTCCAAAGTACGGACTGTGTCCAAAGTACGGACTATATCCAAGGTACGGGTAGTGCCTTATGTACAGACATTCTCTTATGTACAGATGTCCTGTGGACGAGTGTCCCCAGTAAGAATGATTTTTTCTTACATATAAGTGCCACAGCGTGGATGTAGCTTGAGTCCCATGCTGCTTCGTTCCCAGCTGTAAGCTAGTTAGTTACGTCTGTACCAATTTATGGTGTCTCATTCTGGCCCCTTTGGTTGTGTTGGATGGCTAAGTACAGAGATGCGAGACCACCTCACGCTGCTACTGTTTGAAGCAAGATTACATAAAGAACAGCTAAGTGTAGATTTACGTTCTAGTTTTTATGTTTTAGATTTTCTATATTTTCAGTCTTAAACAGTAACGTACATTTTAAATAATATCGTACAGACTATATTTAGTGGTTAGATTATTAAGAACATTTATGTCGATGCAGTAGTTACAATGTGATTTAGATTTTAGGTTTCATTATATTACACCTTGTAATAGTATTACTTTCTATAGATATTATTATTGCGCTATATTAACAGATGAATAACGAGACATAGATTCTAGAATCTACAGGTTGCAACACATCAGATTTAACACCGCATAAAATTTAACAATTTAAATAAAGTAATGCTACTTTTCTTATATTTTCTATAACGTTACACGCATTGTATTTTTTCATAGTCTTTTCATAGAACATATTTAATATTATTTACATACATAGTTAACAAATAACCACTATAATAATTATTAAAATTGTACAATGCTATTTACCATCAGAATTCATCATGAATAAATATAGTCATTAGTTTTAAGTAATATACAACTGTGTTTTCTTTCTCTGTACATGCCTGGCGCCCAATATCTATTTTTTTGTTTATTGTTCTTAATTAGTTTTCTTTCCAGTGAAATACCTTATCCACGACTGCTCTCCGATGAAAAGCTGCCGTTCGCAGTGGTAGTTGTTTAAAAAACGCTACAACAGTTTCAATAAAAACTATTTATTTCGCACATTTTGTCAACCTCGACCGGCCTCGAAACTCTTGGCGCGTCGTCGTCTTCGAAGCGAGTCGTTAGGCTCCTCCTACTTCCTTTCCGCTTTTCCCGTCAAGGCAAGGCGCCAAATTTGAATTATAACTAGGGTGGGGCATATTTAGTGCTATATCGATATACGATAACACTCCCCCCCACTTTGAAAACAGCGTTGCCATGACGGTTAAAACAATAATTTAAAATTTTACATAAATCAATGCAAAAATACAAATTTTACATGAACTAAATGAAAATGAATAAATAATAATAACTCTAGCAAAGTAACAGAACATATTAAGTTATATCTTCTAAAAATAATAATAGTACAGAGTACAAAATTCAAATTCTTAAAACCTAAATAAATGAATAGAAAACTTAAATGAAAATAAGTACAAATCAAATCTTCCTTTTGTTAGATTTGTGTGAAATATGTTTAGATTCTGTAGTAAAGTAGGTAAGTTTAATAAAGTCGGTATAATAACCATTATTAAGCGCAACAACTAAGTCTACAAGTCTTTGGCTTTACGGTTCGACGTCTAATAGACGAGTTAAGATACGTTTGGGTTACATTCGAATTTGATATAGAAGGTGGTGAGGTACAAGACCTTATAGAACTATGAGCTTTCTCCAAAACAGCATAATTTCTAGGTACATTCGAATTTGATGGAGAAGGTGGTGAGGTACAAGACCTTATAGAACTATGAGTTTTATCCAAAACAGCATAATTTCTAGGTAAATGTCGATAATCCAACCGACGATTTCTTCTCTCTAACCTAGGCTCTAAGGAGGGGAAACTAGATACCTCGGATTGAGCTAAACTAAGTTCAGGGACGGCATCGAAACTTGGTGGCGAGTTCTCGTCAGCAGGGGTTTTTTTAATGTTCTTCTACAAAATAAATAGCACAGCTAATATCAGGTGACAAGGGATTGGCAATACGCAACAATCAGATTTCCCTGACGGACTTGCAAATGCAAAACAAAACTTAGTTAAATTAAAATTAAAGGTTAGAATGACATAGATCCTGCAGAACTGGAACCTGGTCCATAAAGCTTGATGTTAACTCCGTACCCTTGATGTATACTGTTTTAAAATTCCGGATTTACCCAACTGAATCAGAATAGCGAAATGTTTGAATCATTTTTGATTGTTCCATATTTAAGAAATAAAAAAAAAATAGTAAAAGCAAGAAAAATTCAATAATAAACCAGAAAAACACACAAAGCAAAATAAAGTGGCTTAGAACAGATTTTACGAATCAAACTGTTCTCAAATTCAACTGAAGTAAAGAAATTATTGTGCCAACAATACAAAAGTTAAGTTGAATTACCTGTACTTGTATTGTAGTACCATCTAACGCATTGTACAACATGGGCAGCACCTCCGTCTTGATATCTTCTCTTGACGTTTTCTCCAGAATAATATGGAGATTTTCCAGAATAGTTACCGCAGCTTGTACGGTTTTAGGTGCTTGAAATACAGTCCTAAGTGACGGTAAAATGATGGATTCGTATTCTTCCACGGTGGATTCTTGCACTAAGAACAGCACTGGCTGAAGTACCGAAGCTAGTACCTCTTGAGATCGCATTTCTTGTTGAAGTGAGGGCCATACATGTTGATACCATAATTTCTGTAACAAAAATATGTCTTAAGTACTCTCTATATTCGGTTTTCGTAGATCATTTTCTTCAAAATATTTAAAATAATCAGATACTTAAATATTAAATTACTTCCCTTTTTTGTAACAAGAGCTTCAAAATCTACTAACGAGTACTACTCGTTAGTTAGATGAAAAGATGTCTTAGAATGGAGGTTAACTAATTAACTATTCCTCAGTCAGACTTGCGACTGGATATAAGATTGTCGAGGAATTTTGCAGAGGATGCTCATTCTTTCTCTTGACGATTCCATATGCAAAGGAACATCGGAGAAGACAGGCGAATAGCGAAGCAGTATAAAATTAAAACTGGTTTTAAGTCTGGGGCTACTGTAGGAAGCGTCCTAACAAAAACAAAACCAAAGCAAGAGAAAGAGTGCATCTACCAGGTACCAGCGCCAGGAATGCGATGAGTCATATATTGGAGAGACAAAGTGTCCTCTACATATACAACTTGACGAACATAAAAAACATATGCAAACGGGTGAAACAATTAAGTTGCGCAATTAATATTAGTAGTGGGAACTATCGAATGAATACTATCGAAACATTCGATAGTTGCAAATCATTCGAATAATTCGATAGCTAGTAAAAAAACATTCGTTGAAAACTATTCGAATAAAAGTTATCGAATAGATGCGTCATCTGCCTTGAAATATTGTATTCTAGTAATTCGGAGGCAAAAACCATTCATTTATAAAATTCATTCATTTATGAAATTCATTTATTCGTCAGGATCGATTATAATAAAATATTAACTGGATTTTACTTGTCGCCCGGCGACGTAGGTTTCTTTCCGAGAAACCCGACAGCGGTCGGTGGCATTGCTATGAAAGAAGCCGGCATCTTTGATTTTTTGCGGAGTCATATAAAGATAAGGACACATTATTTTTTTTATTGAGGTGCTAGTATTTACACAGAAAATATATTATGAAGGGCGCTGTTGCCATATATTGGTATTAGTTGATATTAGCAAAGAATATTATTGTTTGGCTTTAGTTAGTTAGGGATATTATGTCTATATATATTTTGCATTTTTTTTAGTAATATTCTCTTGTTACACTGCAATAATACTTGTTATTTTGGATGTAGGAAAATGATTTTTAATGTTTTTAAGCAAAGACTGGTTTAATAAAAATAATAATATCAGTAATAATTTGTTATACCTATTAACAACAAAATTTAAAATAATTTAATATAAACATTATTTTACGTAGTAGCAAAAATTTAATTTTCTCACCCCATAGTTTGAGTTCGATAACCATTTACTTAACCAGATTACTTAAATATGATTATTAAGTTCAACTAATTCATATTATTAAAACATCTAAAATACAAATATGTATTTTTTAAAATTAATTCTAAGTTCATCTTATCCTCTTAAAATTGCTACTTCTCAAAATTTCCCATTAAAAAATAGACCATATAGATATACCATATAAAATATAATTGAAAGATCGGGCTACGGAAAATCACACAAATTTTCGGAAAAATTTTGACACCTGCACACGCACACAATCGTCAATTAAAAAAAAACTACTATTTTAGTATTTTAAATATTTTATAGGACAGTATTTATAAGGTGAAATTATAAAAATTTGGAAGAACTAATAATGCACTGACGCACACAAAAATCAAACGAATACTAAATTTCATTTATCAAAAGCATTCGATAGTCGTGGCTCAACGATAACCATTTAGTCGCACGGCGAGGTTGTCACATATGCTTTAGTATACAAATGAATAAATGATTTTATTCGAATAAAACCATTCGATAGTTGAAATCATTCATTCAGTAACCATTCGATAGTTTAATTCATTCGATAGTTCCCATCGCTAATTAATATCTTGCAATTAATATCTTTCAACATAAAATGGTCGGAAGCCCGGGTTGTCCACAAAGAACTCCATTGGAAAAAGCACAAATTTAAGCATTAATTTAAATGTTTATATCTAGCATTAAAAAATCTTTTAGTAATCCAAGTATGGAAACTTCGACAATATGGAAACCACTTATAAAAAGCTTCAGTGCTCAGTGTATTATTACATGCTTGACTGCACCCAACTTATTCACGGGTGAATGCTCGGCTCTAGTAGTTTTAGGATTTAGATTACACACTTGATAACGGTGAGTGATACTTCTGACCGCGAAATACTATGTTGAAAAATGACAAAATTAATAAAGACAATGGAAGTCCAAAATTCTTTTAGTTTCTATTTTTATTGTCTTGTATTTGAAAATTAGATGCATAAACCATTCTTTGTTAGATTCTAGAACTAATTTTTGATATTCAACATTGGTATTTTCTACACATCGATATGGTCTTTGCTTATCTAAAACTATATTTATACAGGGTGTTTCAAAAAACATGTGCTACATATCATGGGGAGATTCCTCAAGTAAAAAATAAGATTTATGGCATGACAATAATGCCAATTCTGCTTTGTTTTATCTCAACAAGTCCGCTTGAGATAATCATTTGTTCGACGCATCTTGATCTACATAATTTTGGTTAAGCTCATGCGGAAATCTCCCATGCAGTACCGTTCGAGTCCACTCCTCGACTTTCTCTTTCGTAGATTACATCCGATGGGAGCCTGATGTCAACGGCATGTTGAAGATCTAAAGGGGTGTGTTTATAATCTGCTCTCACTACTGCTCGGTGAAGATCTGCTACCTGGTGCAGAAAGTATTCTTGAAGACCATAGATTTGTTTGGCGTGTAGAAACTTTTAATCAATTAGACCTCTCCCACCTTTATTGCATGGGGTAATCTCACAACTGCTGCCTTAGGATAATGCATCCTAAATTTTGTTTTGTTTGCGGTTTGCGTTTTGATCTGGATATTTTCAAGTTCAGTTTTCGTCCATTTTATAGTCCCAAAAGTATATGAGATTATCAGAATTGCGTAGCTGTTGATAGCCGTAAATGTGTTTTTTCCGTTTAATTTAGACTTAAGTATAGTCGTCAGTCTGCTAATATATATAAAGATAATTTTACCTTTAATATCTTTGTGCTGTAAGCTTTTACCTTGAGCGAGTTATTATTACTTGAGTTATTATTACTATTAGTCCAACCTACAGTTCAAATAAAAAAATAATGGTATTTAAGATAATTCACAAAAAAACTAATTTTATAAGCTTTTAACATCCTGTAACTCTAAAACTATGCATTTGATGGGAAATCAACGAATACTTATTTAAAACTTTCGCAAGTTAATGATATTAATTTTTTTTAAAGGTTGCTATTAGACTTGGATCAAGACAACTTAATAAAATTGCGTTTATCTCATCAAGGAGGCCGAACTCGAGAAAATATCACGAGAGAACTTTTAATCGGCATTAAGCTGCTTATGCTATTCTGCTAACAAAAGAAAAAAAAAGTCAGTGGCGTACATGCTTTTTTTAGAAAAATATTCCATTGATAACCCATATGCACATCCCTGATTAATATGTCGACACTTTTTTATCTTTAAAGTATGTCGAATTTATAGTAACTTTACCCTCAAAATTTTATTCGAAACGCTAAAAGTACTTGCAAGAAAACTATAATAAATCGATATAATATTAAGACTTTAACACCCTGTAGTTACGAAACAAAGCAGAATCGGATCTATGTTATACAAAATAAATCTTATTTTTACGTGGGGAATCTCCCCACATGGAACATGCTTTTTGTAACAACCCCTATATGTAATTGTCATATTTTTAAAGAATTAGCATGTAATGGGCCTGTTTAGTTTGTAAATAATATATTCTTATTTCTTATATTAATTTTAATTAAAAATAAATAATAAAACCCTAATATTTAGAATAAAAATTAGATTACCTTATTGTCCCTAAACACTTAATTTCATTCATGTCGGATGTTTATCTTTAATTAAATAGGGGCCAACAAGTACTGCATAAATCTATGGAAGCATTTGAAAACAACTACCTTTGTTTTGATTTAATTTCCATAGACCTTTTAATTATCTTCTTTGTGCTATGGCTGTAGTTCATTCTAGCCGGGATACAAATATTGAAAAAATAGATTATTGCCATGTAGTATTTCTATAATTTTGGTAATTTCACAAATTATATAGTTTGGAAAAAAGAAAATATTTAAGCATTTAAACCATGTTATATTAGAAAAATGTAAATAATAGAAGTGTAATGTTTTGTGTAAAAACAATGACTATAGTATATTTCACACATCTGTTAGTAGGAGAAACATTGGCGTAATGATCGTCAATATCTCCAACAGTTAGGCATCTTAAAAAAGGAGTTAAAAGTACGACTATAGTATATTAAACAACGAGTTTCGAAAACGACGTTGTGCACACTAGTTCGACAGTTTGTTGGCTCGAGCCGCAGGCAAGAGCCACAAATCGAACGAGTGTACAAAGAAGTTTTCGAACGAGTTTTTTACGTTATTTTTTCTACGACTACAAATTAGCATACTCACTCAGTTTTTGCCAGTTTTGTGAAATAATTTGCGATGTAATGATGACACTTTTCTGACAGCTGCGTTGCGTTAGGCGTTTCAGCTAAACATTGGAGGTTAAAAAGGTCAAAATTGGCACATGTCGTGTGCAAAATGACACATGTCGTGCGCTAAATCCTCAGCACACAACAGTTTGCAAAACGCCAATTTCAGATCGAGTTTTCCGTGTGTCAAACTGCATTTTCTAGGCTAGTCGTACAAAATAGTATATTGTTTCATACAGCTGATAGTAAAAGAAACATTGGCATAATGATCGACAGTATCTCAAACAGTTAGGCATATTAAAAAAGATCATATTAACAACAGTAAAAATTTAAAAAAATGAGTGTGCACTAAGTGCACATATTTGAAGTGAAACTTCTTACTAAAAGCTATTAAATTGAAGAATTTGAAGGACATGTTTGAAAAAGGGTAATTTGACATGTTGAAAAAGTAATAAATTAAAAATTACTAAATAATTTGATTCACTTTCACAAAATTTGTATTAA